CTTGTGGTTAAAAAAAATAAAACTACATTGTTTCTAATATTTACTATAAGATAAAAGAATACAACTTTATTGTTGTTAACTGAAAAGTTAAAATTAAAGAACGAGTCCATTTATAGAGCAGGTCTTTTTTTTTCACGAAATGCACTTTTGCACGAAACCTGTGGTTAAAAAAAAAAAATAAAACACGTGCTAAACATTTCCTTTTCTTTTGCACATTTCACATTTCCTGTAAATCTTATTGTTCACTGTTTTGTCCTTAATATATAGATATCCATCCAAACACAATTTCTTCTTTCCTTTTTCGCTCTCAACAAAAGTTATGTCCATCACTAGGGTTTGAGATCTCCAAAATGACTGAAATAGAAATAGAAAACAAATATAAAAATAAAATCAGGACTGCTAAAGTTGAGTGTCGTGGCTCCTTTTATATCCAGCTCCGTTGACGTGTTGTAAGACGGCGCAGTTTACGTGGTGCTTCGAGCTTCGGAATTACTTCGAGCAATCTGCCTTTCGAGCAATTGATTTCGAGAAATTTACTGTCGAGCAAATGATTTCGAGCAATTTACCTAGATCCATATATGATGCAGCAGAAATACCTACCACATTTAAAACTGTCACCTGTATGGTTCTAGTGGCAATGGTGTTTTCATCGAGCTAATGTATTACCATTTCTTTTCAGATACCATCAGTTGCCATCATGGCTTGAATCAGTATATACCGTGCGTTTGTTGAAACTTTTTTTAAAACACGTGAATCTATAATTGCGAAACAGAGAGCTTTTTTGTGCTCATTTCAATTTACGTCGGAATTCCGTTACTCCGGACTGAAAATCAATAACACCATGGGTTGCAAATTTCAGGACAATAGGTTCAGCCCTTAAAAGAACGTCACCTGGAAGACGACAAAGCGCTCAAACTTCTGGCTGATTCAAAACTTTAGAAATCATCTTCAACAGTGTATGATGAATAAAAGTCGCCATTTTGATAATGTCCTTTGAAAAACCCATTGAATGATAGCTTTTTGTTTAAACAATATGAAATAAATTTTTAATAGCAATTATCTTGGTCGACCTTTAAAATATGGGAGGTATTTTTGCCGCACCTTGTATAATACAATATAAAATTTAATTATGCTTTATATTTTAAGAATATTTAAAATTGATAATAAAAAAACAACGGAAAATAATTATTAATAAACCAAATGATTATTTCAGTTGTAGAACTAAGGAAATTGTAGATTTCTTTTCTAGAAATGTTAGTTTATTTCAAAAGCAAGCTTGACATTTTTAAAATTAAAGCCCCGGCAACACTGAATAGATCTATTTGTAATTCTATACGATTAAATCGTTGCAACATTGTACAAATTATAAAGTTTTACGTGACTGCGTAAAGAGTTGTAGAACTTGAAAAGAAACAGGTCTCGATTTATATCTTGTAACTCAATTAATCCGATGTATTTCGCTTGAAAAGTTCCGAAGAAATTGCCGCCCACACTTGAGGGAAACGGACGAAGTTCATCAAGATAGTTATCTAAAGGTCAATTCGCGCGTTTAACATCGCTACCTGGCCTCCTTGAAGTTAAATCCAAATCGTTTTATTTTGGGATTGGTGTCTGAAATTGGAGACTAGGCAAGTAATTAAACTGAACTGCAGAGGCGTTACCTTTTGTAGAAGGTAAATAGATCGATGACACACATACACAAACAATGAATATAGATGCATACACATACCTTTATAAATTCGTGCTTGTCAACCGTAAAGCAGTGGTCAACAAGTTCGTTAATCAGGCCAGTTTCCGAATGTGAAAAATTCAGTCCTCACTGGGTGGAGTGTGCAGTTGGGTTAATGGATAACGTCTCTGAAATCAGAGAGCCGAGTTCAAATTCCAGTCTAGGTCGTTACATGTGCAAATACCCATGGGAAAGATATAAATTCATCGCCTTGTCTCCCCACTAGTTATATGTTAAATAGTAAGACAGACTGGAATCTTCCTGGGAACCAGCCTAAAAGAAGGAGAACTCTGAATTTAAAATCGGACGAGAGACATTTGAAGACCTTGTGCCGCACTAAATGCATCAATTCTCTGTCTTCCGTTATATTTTTTTTTATTTATCACATAAAAATAGGTGTGATTGGTGAAATGGATAATCGAAATTGGAGAGTCAAGTTCGAATTCCAGTCGAGTTCATGACATTCACCTGTGCGCAAATACCTTTGGGAAAGGTATGAATAAATCTCTTCCCTCTAGCTATGGGTTACAAAAATGAACTTATACCTGGAAAAACACTATGTAAAAAAAATTGACATCTATCTATCTATCTATCTATCTATCTATCTATCTATCTATCTATCTATCCCTCTCGTAGCATCTATCTATCTATCTATCTATCTATCTATCCCTTTCGTAGTATCTATCTATCTATCTATCTATCTATCTATCTATCTATCTATCCGTGCCTTTCGTAGTATGTTCATATCTATCTATCTATCTATCTATCTATCTATCTATCTATCTATCTATCTATCTATCTATCTTTCTTTCTATCTATCTATCTATGCTTATGCATATCTATGAACATTTCTTCCTTTCTTTCTTAGTCTGTTAATATCTATCTATATATCTATGTAAATTTCTTTCTTTCTTTCTTTTTTTCTTGATAGCTGATAGCTGGATGGGTCAGATGGTTCACCAGTGTTCTATCTATCTATCTATCTATCTATCTATCTATCTATCTATCTATCTATCTATCTATCTATCTACCTATCTTGACTGGGAGGGCTGGTAGGGCTTGGCAGTGTAGCTCATCAGAACTCATGCCAGAGAAATAGCAATAGAGCAGCGAGAGGCTGTTAACGTTTCGTCTCTGGGGAAAGTGGTTGTAGTGTGGAAAATAATTCATTTCGGGGAAGATGACATATTATGTTTTGAAAAAGTAATTTCTCTGAAATTATCTCCCCTCCCCCAAATAATCGAAAGGCATATCGAAAATAATATTACGTATTCATTTCCACAGAGACTGCAGCAAATACGTCGAGCAAGTCGCAGCTAGAAAAAAAAAAGCTATTTCCCATATAGTCACTACTACTGACCTTTTCGTCGGCGATGATGAAGAGTTTTTATGCCGGGCTCATGAAATTTTGAACTAGATTTCACTAAGTCCTTAAGTTAGTGTTACTATCTACGGTGGTAATTAGTTGATATTAAGTACATATGTACGCCTTACAATTATAAGAGTTCTTAGATCTTATTGTCGATAGAAAAAAAGTCTGGTTACCTTATTGCTTCAAAAGATTTATCAGAAAGCTACGTGTAAAAAAAACAATAAGTGCTTTTCAATGACTTTAAATCTTTTATTCGTATGTACACACACACACACACACACACACACACATACACACATTCACACATTCACACAGAGAAGGCTTTATTTTTTTTCCTTTTCCATTTGTCATATGCAACTCAATAGGTAAGCGTATCAGTTGCTAGTCGGAGTCGAGATTTGGATTTTCAAAACACTTCTGGTTGTAAATCTCAGTAAAGAGTGATATTGAGTGACTGGGAAGGAAGAAAAAAGAAAAGAAGAAAGAAAGGAAAAGAAGAAAGAAAGGAAAAGAAAAGAAAGGAAAAGAAAAGAGAGAGAGAGAGAGAGAGAGAGAGAGCAGATGAAACGAATTGTGAAAAGCGACGATGAACAAACGCTAACGAACGAAGATGCACGCAATTCTCTCTTGCTTTTCTTTCTTTCTTTCTTTCATTTTAGCTGCGTGCTCAAAATTCCCGGCATCCCACAGTGCATTCTTTCTGCCCAGTTTTTTCGCTTCCCTCTCTCTCTTTTTGATCCACTTTAATTAGGCTATAAACTCAATTCATTGCTTCATTTTGGATGTTTGTCCAAGAAATTTGTGGCTTTTCCACGCGCTTCTGTCCCATTGTTGATTTTTTTCCCTACATATTTTCGTGAACATAGAATATTGTACCTTTTTCAATTCATTCAAAATGTCTGCCATCCTTATGTCCAAGTCTGTTCGTATGTATGTATGTATGTATCTGTCTATCAGTCTAAACATATCTATCAATCTCAGTCCATCTCAGTCTGTTTACATCTGTCTCAGTCCATCTCAGTCTGTTTCTATCTATCTATCTATCTATCTATCTATCTATCTATCTATCTATCTATCTCAGTCACGTCATTATCTATCTATCTATCTATCTATCTATCTATCTATCTATCTATCTATCTATCTATCTCAATCTCTTCATTATCTATCTATCTATCTATCTATCTATCTATCTATCTATCTATCTATCTATCTATCTCCGTTTTTTTCATATGTATCCATGCAGGCATGTATGTATGTATGAATGCGTTGCCGAGTGGTTAGAACTTTAGCTTTCTGAACCCTGAGACCTGGGCTCGATTCTCACGAGGGTCGATACGTCAATTTGTTAATTTGTGAGGAAGGTGAGATATTGATGTTATCCGTCTGGGGGATACGATCCCAGCGTCCGGCACCTTTGGAAAGTGTCAGTGTCACGACTTCAGTTGTAATTGGGTTGATGGAACCCTTGCTAGCACGAAGTCACAAGTCATCGTGACCGAGGGTTTGTGTTGGCCTTACACATACTGGTAATCACTGTTAGATAACACGCTCTCCCAGAAACTGTCATAGCAATAGTTGCGGTATAAAACACAGGTGGGCACTATGGGTACAGGCGGCTGTAACGGGGATTTAACTAGCCGATTAAATAGACGGACATGCTCGGATACGAGTGGCCAGCCACTATATATGTATGTATTTATGTATGTATGTGTGTGTGTGTATCTATCTATCTATCTATCTATCTATCTATCTATCTATCTATGTCAGCCTGTTCAAATCTATCTAACTTTAAATGTAAAAGATACAGAAAACTTCTCAATAAAATTACGAAATATTTTATTTTTAAATTCCATTTTAATCACATGGATCGAGTTTTTCATTATCTCTTGATATGTATGTATGTATGCCTGTGCCAATATATGTACCCCACTGTCAATTTTAATTTGTTTCTATCTATCTATCTATCTATCTATCTATCTATCTATCTATCTATCTATCTATCTCTTTCGTAGTCTGTTCATATCTATCTATCTATCTATCTATCTCTTTCGTAGTCTGTTCATATCTATCTATCTATCTATCTATCTATCTATCTATCTATCTATCTCTTTCGTAGTCTGTTCATATCTATCTATCTATCTATCTATCTATCTATCTATCTATCTATCTATCTCTTTCGTAGTCTGTTCATATCTATCTATCTATCTATCTATGCTTATACATATCTATGAAAATTTCTCCCTTTCTTCCTTAGTCTGCTAATATCTATCTATCTATGCAAATTTCGTTATTTCTTTCTTTCTTTCTTTCTTTCTTTCTTTCTTTTTTAATTCGTATCTATCTATGGAAATTTCTTCTATATCTATCTATCTATCTATCTATCTATCTATCTATCTATCTTTTTTTTAATGACCCCCCCACCCCACACCTGACTCTTCAAAATGCATTTTTTTTATTTTCTCGTCTTTTGAAGTGTGGAATCCTCGATACTGCCTCTCGCGTTAACATAGAGACGGCAGCGGAGGTATTCCGAGTAGCGGTTGCATCGTTGCCATGGCAACAGTACGGGTCGTGGCGACTCTTCAGCAATACAGGCTGACACTACTTTGCATTTCCTCACCGCCGTCTTCACAACTGTTGCACAGCCCATAATCGATAGACGATGAACTCGACGAGAGTGAACTATAAGAAAGGGGGACCCACCTTCCGTCTTGAAAAGCAAGCAGACCCCCACCACCGCCGCCACGCTCACACGCACTCACACACATCTTATTCGGCGGACAATCTGCTATTTATGGGATTACATAGACACTTCACTTATAATTCAAAAAGTCTCTTGATATATGGAATTCTTCGAAGAAGACAATCCGAGGATTGCAGATTTTCATGAGTATATATATATATATATATATATATATATATATATATATATATATATATAACGCCAAAATCACCATTTTGTACAATTTCTAGATTATTCTTTAATTTAGTACAATTAGTACATTATTCTTTGATTTCATATTCAGAAAAAATGATCCTCGATAATGGCTAGTAGATTAGCTAATACAACTTGTTCATATATATATATATATATATATATATATATATATATATATATATATATCCAAAATGGTTAAGATAACCATTTTGGTTCTCACCAGTCGAAGTTCAACTAAATGCACCGAAACGAAGTTGCATCTTTGTAGTGAGTAAATTGTTTTTGTCTATTTGAAAAATAATAATTATTGCACTACTATCGGTATTGAGCCCTCTTTTGAATTAATGCTGTGAACGTTAGAATTTATATATTATTTACGTTCTCATTACATTCGATATATACATATATATATATATATATATATATATATATATATATATATATATATATATATATATATATATATATATATGAAGAAATATTTTTAAGGTATGCTATATTTATGCGATAAATATGTAAATATAAATTTAAATAGTGAACATTGAAGTCAACATTCAGAGGCGACAGGCTGTTTCATGCTCGACGCAATCGTCAGGCCGCCTTTATATATATATATATATATATATATTTATACACACACACACACACACACACATATATATATATATATATTAATAAATATGTATATACCAACGTTTGGTGTGCGACCCGTTTGTTTTCGTTGGCCACCCAACTCGTCGGGCACAAGATATAGCTTATTGTTTATTAAAATAAAAAACAAGCTATATCTTATGCCCGACGAGTTGAGTGGCCAACCAAACTTAAGTTGCACATCAAACGTAGGTATATGCATATTTATTAACATATATTTCTTAGTTCTGTCTAATCACATTGAGCACTATTATGTCTACACTCTTGGCAAAATTTGGTAATTATTTATTTGCTCAACGGTGTATACACGCCAGCACGCAACATATCAATCATCATCAGGTTATTGTTTATTATGAAATAAATATTGTAGTATTTATTATTGTCAAAAAGTTGTTGTGCTTTAGCGGTCACGCACTGACGCAGTGTTCCTCACTCCATTTGTAACACAACTTTCAGATAACACAACAACTTCTCTTTGACAATAATGAATACTACAATATTTATTTTTTAATAAACAATACCTTGATGATGACATTGTGCTATGTCGAAAGTACTCGGAAATAAAAGAAATATGTATCAATACGGCGATTTTCTCTCTTCCTTCAATAATGACACAAAAAAGCTCATCTGTGAGTATGAAAGGTTCTTATCGAAAATAAGTAGACAGAACATGTCTAAACTATTCAACGAAACATGTATTAATCAATAATCAATACATGCTGCCGAAATATATATATATATATATATATATATATATATATAAAATTTTTCTTGCATTCGTACAAGTGATTAAAAATCTGTCTTTAAATACCATCGCTTTCGACAAGACATGATCAAGGATGTTTTTTGTTTAACTGAATATGTAGATTTTTTTATATGTATATATATAAGGATGAGGATGTTTGTAATTTCCGAACATGGTCATCACATTGTGACCTTGTTCATAATTGATATTGTTGAGAGTTCTCTTCTTTTTTTTATTAAAACGCTCTCCATTCTTTTTAAGTCTATAATGTTCGTATTTGTCAGAGGTTGGCAGATCTCTTGAGTATTTAAAAGGCTCCTAATGTAGCTGTGGCTCGAGAGACTTACTTTACATCACACACACACACACACACACACACACACACACACATATATATTGTTGTGGTGTCCTCCCTCTAAAAAGTCTATGTTGGACTCTTCCGCCTACTATAAGGTTAGTAGGAGAGAATGTCTTGGGGGAACAGTCGAATGGATTGAACATTGGGTCAACCGACACACACTCACTAGTCGTGTAATACTCTTCTGTTGTACTTACTGTTTAATATATGATATATCTGTAACACGTATTTTGATATTTCTTTAACCATTTACTTGGTCACAACATATATATATATATATATATATATATATATATATATATATATATATATATATATATATATATATATATATATATATATATATATATATATATATATGTATATATATATATATATATATATTTATACGTTTTATTAAATAATATAGACAAGTGTTGTCTATTTATTTTATGTAATTTTTTTCGTAACCTCTGATAAGTTTAATAACATTATCGTTGAACGAAGAGAAATTCACAATATTGATCCATATTTTTTTTAATATAATCTAAGCTTTCGGCTTACTTAAGCCATTATCAAAGATGTCAATTACAACATATTAAACAATATACGGACAAGACAGTGATGATAGTCTGTCATTGTTTACATAGATGATTTCTAAGCAACGATAAACACGTGCATATAAGACGCTAGAAGCGAAAATCGCACCGCAGCTCATGACGTCTCACATGACCACACGAGGGTGAATTGGAGAATGAAGTATGGAAAGCCGTTGGTATAAACCAATGGCTTCTTTTACCAATTATAGATATTTAAGAATATTTGCAGAGATGCCATAATTGATTTTGTTTAGGTTAATATATATAATAATATTATATGTATGTATATATATATATATATATATATATATATATATATATATATATATATATATATGAGTCGAAAGAAAAAAAAAAGGTAAAGGGACAGCGGAACAGTATAAGGATACATAAAATTACGCACAGGCCCGTGCGCGCAAACACACACACACACACACACACACACACACACACACGCACACACACACATATATATATATATATATATATATGAAATATAGTTTTAAGGTGTGCTATATTTATGGGCTAAAGTGCTCAATATCAGAGATAGAGCGTATGTAAATATAAAAGTGAACATTGAAGTCAACACTCATGTTTCATGCTAGACATAATCGTTAGGCCGACAATTGCGCCTAGCATGAAACAGCATATCGCCTCTTAAAACTCTATTTCTTCATATATATATATATATATTTATATGTGTGTGTGTGTGAATATGAATTAATAAATAAATATAGATACAAGCAACCATACATGCGTACGGTCACGCGCATATATAAATTTGCAAATAAATATTTTATTTAATTTTTGATTTTAACAAAACAGTGCTCAATGTACCAATACAGAGCTATAAAGTATATATTATTATATGCCTTAAATCGAAAGAACGGCTCGGAGTTTCATGTTTTAATTTTACTTCAGGGTAAAAATAAAAACCACTTAAAAATGTAAAAAATGAAGAGATCATTGTCTTTCCTTCTCGAACATTTATGTATATTTTAACATTATAGCAAGGATGATAGTCACACAGGATTTTGTTAAGTTTCTTGGATACTATTTCTACGTTATTAGTTATTATTAGCTTGTTTATTTATGTCAAAAGAAATTTAATAAGATTTTTATTTAATTTCCTATATGTCTCTTTATTATGGGGAACGGAATCAATTTGTTTTGTTATTGTCAATCGAATTTAAAATTTTAAAAATATTGGACATATGACTCTTAAAAGAATGCGTCCGAAGAGAAAATCATTTTCGTACGTTAAATCATGTTTTTTTTATGACACCTATATTTTAGATCTTGTAATTTTTTTTCTATTTTCAATTGTATTATATATTTTATTTATAATATATTATATATTAAAACTAATGACGCGGAAATAAGATGTATGGAACTTGTATTGATGGTCGACTCGGAAAGGAAATGATAGGACCTAAAAGACAGGGTGCTAGAAGAAAGCAAGAAAAAAAGGACTAACCATCAGCTGCAAGAAGACGGAATGCATGGTCATCAGCAAGAGAAAAAGATACGAGATACAATTTGGAGATATAATGATCAAACAGGCGAAGATTTTCAAAAATTGTGACACTGAAATCCGAAGTACGCATGGGATGAGCGAAAGAAGCATTGTAAAAGCTAAGGGCTCCATGCTTTCCGATTTTGTGCAATATCAAAGCTACCTTTAGTAAATTACCATGCGTATGCATGCACGCGCGCATGCGTGTTTGTTACACCATCCAAATAATTATGTTTGCTATACCATCCAAATACACATGTTATCTATACCATCCAAATATTCATGTTTTCCATCCAAATAATTATGTCTACTACACCATCCAAATGCTAATGTTTACTATGCCATCTAAATACTTATGTTCCTATACCATCCAAATACTCATGTTTGCTAAACCATACAAATACACGTCAGCTATACCATCCAAATACTCATGTTCCTATAACATCCAAATACTCATGTTTGCTATACCATCCAGATACTTATGTTCCTATACCATCCAAATACTCATGTTTGCTAAATCATACAAATACACATGTCAGCTATACCATCCAAATACTCATGTTCCTATAACATCCAAATACACATGTCAGCTATACCATCCAAATACTCATGTTCCTATAACATCCAAATACTCATGTTTGCTATACCATCCAGATACTCATGTTTCCTATACCATCCAAATACTCATGTTTACTAAACCATACAAATACACATGTCAGCTATACCATCCAAATACTCATGTTTGTTATATCATCGAAATACTCATTCACGGCTGCTATTGTTGAATATATTAATACACAGCGACAAAGTTGA